GGCATGTGTCTGTTGTAGCCTGCCCCTGCCGTGGCCTGTCCCTGTTGTGGCCTGTCCCTGCCATGGCCGTGGCCTGTCCCTGCCGTGGCCTGCCCCTGTTGTGGCCTGTCCCTGCCGAGGCCTTCCTCACCATGGTTGTCTTTGTGCGTAGGCGTGAGCATGCTGAGGAAGCAGCGTATTCACTGAAGACATGCTAATTGGGGAGCGGGGCATGTTGCTCTAGTTACTACGTTGTTGTTGATTTGGGGTTTTAGAGATCTGGACATTTGCGTCACTGAGCTGTCTCCCAGCCCGTCCATAAAGGGAAACATCCACTGCCACCTACCACCACCAAGCTGCTCTCCCACCGGCTTCCAGGGCCACCCACGGGGCCACCTGCCCTGCACAGCTCCCCACACAGTGGGAGAGAGGAAGGTCAGGATTCCTGCAGTCCAGACCCTGGCCCTAAGCTGTGGGGGCCTTTCCCCGCCCCAAGTACTGAGGTCACCCCACTTCCATGAGCCATGCTGCCCTTGTTTCCAACTCCCACCCGTTCTGGGGCCCCTGGAGGGGGGTCCTGCCCATCAGCCATGAGGTCAGGTCTGGAAATGGACACTTTTATGTGGCCTGCCCGGGCACAAGGCTCCTGGCAAACAACACGGGGAACTTTTAAATCAGGAAGGCTTTGGTGCCACTCACGCGGGCGTGGAGTGGCAGGCAGCAGACAGCCATGGTGGCACCGCCGAGCACACTCTGCCACAGGAGGAGATCTCACAAGACCCACCCCCCCGATCTTCCACAGCTGGCTCCCCCAAAGGGAGGTTCGGAAGACGAGGGGCCAACTCCTGCAAGCCGTTGGCTGTTGCAATGGGTCTGCCGTCAGGGGAACAGTTGCCCAGCAGACGAGCAGGTCAAGTCCCCTCCCCCCACAGAGAAAACAGCCAAACCCCAGGCATGACCCCAAGGTCAGCAGGCCACCTAAGAACCTATAGCAAATGTGAGGGACAGGCAAAGCCACTGGTGACCAAGCAATCATCCCCAGAGGGACAGTGCCAGCCTCCAACACCTGCAGAGAGGAAAAGGGGACTCGGTAGGGGAGAGGAGGCATGTAGCCCAGCAAAAGCGCAGGGTGGGCTGGGAGCTTCGACATGAAGGGACTGTGGCCTTCTAGAAGCGTGCCGGCAAGGGCTGCTGGGAGCAGGCTCCCCCTCTGCTGGGAGATGGAGCAAGGGCTGCTGGGAGCAGGCTCCCCCTCTGCTGGGAGATGGAGCAGCAGACGTTTGGAGCATGCGGAGGTGTGGTCTCTGTCGTGGCAGCTGTGTAGCAGCCACGGCCCAGGTCACTCCCCTGGTCACTGCCACGGCCAGGGCACTGAATGCCCTCCCCAGTCACTGCCACGGCCCAGGGCATTCAATGCCCTCTCCTGGTCAGGGCCCAGGACACTGCATGCTCTCCCCTGGTCACTGCTACGGCCCAGGGAATTCAATGCCCTCCCCTGGTCTCTGCCACGACCAGGGCACTGAATGACCTCCCCTGGTCACGGCCAAGACCCAGGGCACTGAAAGACCTCCCCCCGCAAAGTCATGGTTATAAGAGATGGGGCCTTTGAAAAGTATCAGGGCTAACATGAGCTCACAGGTGTCATGGCACAGCAGGCTGAGCCGCCGTTTGGAAGGCCCGCTTCCCATGTGGGAATGCCTGGAATGGGACCCACATCTGCTGCTGAGCCAGCTTCCTGCCATGTGCTTGAGAGGAACGGGTATCAGCCCCAGAAGCTGGGTTCCTGCCAGCCAAGCAGGAGAACCAAGTTGGTGCCCAGCTCCTGGCCTTGGTCAAGCCCCAGCTGTGGCTGTTGTGGGCATTCAGGAAGTGAAGCAGCACATGGAATATCTCTCCCTCTCCCTGCCACTGTGCTATACAACTGAGAAATAAGCAGGTTGTGAGGGTGGAAGTCAGAGGGTGGGGTCAGCATTCCGACCAGGAGCCCAGGCACGCTCTCCACTGTGTGAGGGTGCAGGAGAGGGCAGCACCCTTCCGAGAGAATGACTGCTGTCAGCAGGTCCCTGGCATGCCAGTCAGCAAGGAAGTGGGTGTGGCCATGTGCCCATAAAGCGTTAGGAGGCTGAGGTTCAAGTTGGGCATCATTTCTGTGTTAGGAAACATCGTTCTCACTTTGGTTTCCTAGGCACAGTCTGAAGGTGAGACGCTGTTCTCAGCTCACGATCAACAGGCTGGCTGGCCCTGTCCCAGAGTGAGACCTCATGGGGCACTGCTGCGGGTGCTGGGTGCCATGTTTGGGGACCCCAGTGCTGATGTCCCAGGAAGAGGTCAAACCAGTGAGTGAGGGTACGGGCTGGCTCCGAGCCTGGTGCTCCTGCTGCCGACACAGGCCTTGGCGTCCCCAGCCTGGTCCTGTGGAGAGCCACTGGCTACCGAGGGGCTTCACCAGGACTCCCGTGTGTTTACCCCTCAGGTGCCATGCCATGCAGCTGCAGCCTAGGTGGTACCTCCGAGCATGAACGCAAGTGCCCAGCTGTGGGGAGAGCCGTGTCAGACGTCGGGCTCGCTGTGGCCTCCAGGAACCTCGGTCACCTGGGGATGACCTTTCTTTGTCATTTCAGCTGTCCCAGTAGAATAATCCGCTTGGCTTTCCCCACTGCTGGAGCTGTTGAGAGCCACCAACATGGGCATTTTTAAGAGGGGCGGGCTTATCATGTGGATGGCAGAGTCACAAAACAGACAGAATCTTCTGTGGCTGGTTCACTTCCACCCACATGGCCACAACTGCTGGGAGCCGGGCCAGTCTGAAGCCATGAGCCCAGAATTTCATCCAGGTCTCCCACGTGGGTGCAGAGTCCCAAGCCCATGAGCCATCCGCTGCTGCGTTCCCAGGCGCATTAGCAGGGAGCAGGATTGGAAGGGGAGCAGCTGGGACTTGAACCAGGGCTCTGACGCAGCTACCTGGACGCAGCCCCTGGATGCGATGCACAGCAGGCGGCAGTGCACCCAACTGTGGCACAATGCCAGTCCTCATTTCTAATTCTTCAAGGTGATCCCCCACTGACCTCCACAGAGGCTGCGCTGCCACAGGCAGGCAAGGATGCCCCAGGGCTGGCTGGGGCTCACCGCCCCTCAGTCACTCGCTATTTTGTGGTTTCCTGTTTTCATGGCTGTGAGTTCTGGTCTCCCCCCAGTCCTGAGGACACTGGATGTCTTCTTGAGCCGGTGGCCACGTGCTGCATGTCTGGGGGGACACGTCTGATGAGTTCTTCGCCCTGTCTTGGAGCAGGTCTAGCTCCCTGCTGCCTGGCTGCGGGAGTCCTCTGTGAGCTCTGCTCAGAGAGAGGATTTGCGGTTTGGTCTTTGAGATGAGGCTTTTTCAGCTCTGCCACCCAGCATGCAGCAGTCGCAGGAGTTCTTAGAAACAGCAGGAGCAGAACTGCCGCTCGTGCGAGTCGGGATCCACGCGGGCCGTGGGGGCAGGTGCAGAGTGATGGAAGACCCGGGCTGAGCAGAGGTGGGAGAACCCCAGGGGCACCAGAGGCTGGCCACTGCTCCCCAGTGCCAGTGGTGGAGGTCGCCTGAGGGGACCAGGGGTGGAGGTGGACGTGGGGCGCAGTGGACAGAGGAAAGAGCCCGTACTTGAGCACGTGTCTGGCCCCGACCCACTGAGTGCTGTAAAGTGTGCTCCTGGAAGGAGAGCTGGGGGCATGGCCCAGGGGGCTCCCTGTGGGCACCCCACTCCCTCCCTTCCAGGCCTCCTCTTCCCTCTCTCTCCCTCTCCTTTCTCTCTCTCTCCTTCTCACCTCTTTTCTCTCCCCCTCTCCTCCTCCCCTCCTTCTCTCTCTCCCTCTCTCCTCTTCCTCCATCGTCTCCTCTGCTGCCCTCTCGGCTTCATCTCCTGCCGGAGCGTCCTCACCCAGCAGCACTAGAGCAGAGCTGGAGCCCAGTGCCCACCGCCCTCCCTGGGGAGGGGACACTAGGGAGCCAGCACAGGGTGTGTTCTCAGCACACTGAGAGCTCTGGGGGAGGTCTCCCCCAGGAGAGCCACATATGGCCCACCACTCACCAGCTGCCCCCACCCACAGGTGTGGGAGTGGAGAGCGGCATCCCCAGGAAGGGGGTCTGACCAGGAGAGCTGTGGCAAAGCATGGGAACAGTCCTGTGACCTGTCCTCCCTCGGGCCAGCCCTGCCCGCCAGGTGCTTGGCCTGCACCTGCTGTGTCACAGCTGTCAGGACTAGAGACCAGAAATGGGAGAGAAGCCACTGTGGGGTGTGGTGGCAGAAGGCACCGGGTTCAAATCCTAGCCATGGGTCACGGCCCCAGGACTTTGGCTGCTGCCTCTGGCAGAACCCCTTCCCAGTGCTTACCACAGGTGATAGGTGTGGGCAGGAAGCTGGTTACTCCCCACAAGACCTGCTGCCCTCCGGCCTTCCCTGACAATGTGGGCAGCTCCCAGTCTGATGGGGGTCAGCCGTGGGCAAACTGGGGGGGACATGCCCCAGGTGCTTCCCCCTGCAGCTCCTCTGTCTTGCCTCCTGCCTGGGGCAACTACTGCACCATGGGAAGGCTGGGGTGCCAGGGAGCCTCCCATCTGGACCAGGGCTTTGGACACTTCTGGGATCCAGGGTCACAGCCTGGCACCTCAAAGGGCCCTGGCACATGCCATGCCCCAGGCTTCTGGCACATGCCATGCAGTCCATGCAGGACACATACGAGGACCTTGGGCCACCCCAGCCATCCTGGCACCTGGTGTGGGAGGCACAGGATGGGTTTGTGTCTGGTGGGTAAGTGGTCTCAGTGCCTGCGCAGCATCAGGATGCCCCGATGTGTCAGGGGATTGCCATGCAGGTGCACTGCTGTGCCCACAGCCCCCGCCACGGGAGTAGCCATAGCCGGGGTGGGAGCTGCCCGGGCTGACACCCCATCCGATCCAGGCTGAGCCCCCACATGGCCCCAGGTGGCTTTCTGTGCAACCTCAGGATGTGCAGTACACACACAGACCCAGCAACAGCTCAGGCGGTTAACAGGGTCGCAGCAGCCAGGCCTTGGCCCAGGGACGCGGCAGTTGACAGAGACCCCGGCCCAGGGACGCAGCAGTTGACAGAGACCCCGGCCCAGGGACACAGCAGTTGACAGAGACGCCGGCCCAGGGTTGCGGCAGCCAGACCCCAACCCAGTCTCTGGCCACAGTACAGTTTACTGGTTTCTGCCTTTAGGCCTGGGACCAGGAGGGGAATGGGGAACACCCAGAAATGCAGAGCCCTGAGGGCACTTGGGCCCCTCTGCAGGGGCTGGGGGTGGCAGCTGCGGGGCAGCACTGCCCAGAGCTCTGCCATCTGCTCTCCACTGGGACCCCTGGCCTGGGGTTTCCTGCCTGCTCAGGAGGAATCAGGACCCCAGCCTTGACGGCCAGTGCACTGGGTCCTGTCCCCCAGATACCCCATCTCTGGCTGAGCACGGCGCAGGAGGGAGGTCAGACTCCTTGGAGCCCACCTACCCAAGGGCCCCACACAGCCTCGCGGGGAAGCAGAAAACTCCTTGGTGACCACGGCTTCCTCCCTCCGCCCCGCCCCCTCTGTGCGCCTCCACTTCCCCCCAGCAGGATATGGGTGCAGGGTGTGGTCGGGTGGGAGGGGAGGAGGCAAGCGTTTCCTGTACTGCTTGTCCAGTGTGTGCAGTGTGCATAGAATGAATGACTGAGGCAGGGGGCCACGGCCTGGGCACACAGCTATGGGGCCAACTGAGCAGGTAAGAATTTCTGCCGCCTCCTCCCCTGACATACTGTAGCTCACAGGGTTGAAGCCACTGGCCTGCCAGTCCTGGCCTGCGTTCCCAAAGCCCACTGTGGCAGCCAGCACCCGGGAGTCTGGGTGCTGCCATATGGAGGTACCCAGCCCCCTGATGCAGGGGGCCTGCATGTGGCATTGTGCTGTCTGCCAGGGCGCGTTGGGACACTGGGATGGTGCACTGGGATGGTGCACTGGGGGGCCGGGTTTTCAGTGGAGTCTTAATTGTGCATTAATCAGATGTGGCCACGAGCTCTCCTTCCCTGGGCCGCGTGCCAGGCTGCCGCAGTGTTGGGAGTCAGGGCCAGGCGTGCCAATGTCGCTTGGGAAATGCCGACACACATCTCAGTCTGTGATCTTGAGGGAGTTTCACCGAGGTGCTAATGAGGTATGCCATCAACATGCCAGAGCCGGTGGCCTTGACTTTGGACTCCAAGGTGGGATGGACGCTGCTGCCATTGTGTGGACCGTGCGGCACCTGTGCTGTTCCTTGTTGGATTGGCAGGCCACTGTGCCTCCTGTGCCCCCGGCCCTGGCCTCAGGAGCCGGGAAGGAGCTGAGGTTTCTCAGAGCTGCTGCTCATGCCCATGTCTGGCACTATATCGTTTCTTTGCCCCTGGCTATGTCTGACTCGTGTCTGGGTGGTGCAGTTGGGAAACTAGATTATGCTGGCCTGGGAGCACCAGCCCAGGCCCTGGTGGGCACCCCAAGCGTCCTTGGAGTCGGCAGCAGCCTTCCTCACTCTCTCACTTGGGTCTCTGGCATCTGGGGAGATAGGAAGGACGCGTCTAGAAGCGTGCCTTGGCGTCATGTGGTTTCAGGCAGTTACACTTCCTGCCACTCCTTGGGGCCCCTTGGTCCTCAGCTCGGGGCTCCGCCCAGCCCTGTCCCGCCCAACAGGCATGGTTCTGTGCCTGTGGCAGGCTCACCAGGGCCATGGGGGGCCCTGGCAGGTGGGAGTGCCAGGCTTTGGGGAACGGCTTAAAGAGTCTCACTGATTCCATAGAAGCAGGTGCTGGGGTCCCTTGGCACAGAACACACAGTGGACACAGCTTTCCTGGCAGAGGGGGCTCAGTGCCAGCTGTCTCAGGCGCGTGGGTGGGTGTGAATGAGGAATGTCGCATTTCCGGTGCTGTGTTCGACCCCCCTTCAAGGTGGCCTCAGGTGCTCCTGCTGTCCCCGCCGTCACGTCTCCACCCTTGCAGCGCTAAGGTCGGTTCCCGCCAAGTGGTTAAGGACAGCTCACACACAGCTGAGTTCAGGGCAGGTGCAGAAAGCCCAGCAGCCCGAGCCGTGAGGTCAGCTGGAATGTGGCTGGGCAGGACTGTGTAGGCTTTGCCTTTCTCCGGGAGAGTGGGAAAAGGGAGGACGGAAGGTGGCCCACATCTCTGGAGTGCCAGGAGCTCGCTGCCTGCTGGGCTCTCAGCTGCCCTCAGCACACGGCACATACCCAGCCTGCTGCCCTCTCAGCTGCCCTCAGCACACGGCACATACCGCGTCCACCCCTACTGTTATCCCAGGTCACAGAAGAGACGGACCCTGCCGAGGTTGAGCGAGTTGCTTTGTCATCCAGCACGGAGCAGGCAGAGTTGGGACTGCAGCCAGGGATCAGCACTGAAACCCACACAGAACCACAGACAGGCCACACCCTCTTCCTGCAGGGCTCTGTACCACAGGGCCCCATGTACCACAGGGTTCCATGAACCACGGGACTCCATAGACCACAGGGCTCCATAGACCACAGGGCCTCATGTACCTCAGGGTTCCATGGACCACAGGACCCCACGGACCACAGGGCCCCATGGACCACAGGGCCTCACGTACCTCAGGGCCCCATGGACCTCAGGGCCCCATGGACCACAGGGCCCCATGGACCTCAGGGTTCCATGAACCACAGGGTTCCATGAACCACGGGACTCCATAGACCACAGGGCTCCATAGACCACAGGGCCTCATGTACCTCAGGGTTCCATGGACCACAGGACCCCACGGACCACAGGGTTCCATGGACCACAGGACCCCACGGACCTCAGGGTTCCACGTACCTCAGGGCTCCACGTACCACAGGGCTCCATGGACCACAGGGCCCCACATACCTCAGGGCCTCACATACCTCAGGGCCCCATGGGCCACAGGACTCTGCATTGCAGGACTCTGTACCACAGGGATCCCCTCTAAGATGCCGTTGCATATATAGTAGGGTGGCCTGGGGCACATGTGACCTCCAACAGGGACGGAGACTTGAGGCCAAGTCCACTGCGGCTGCGAGGGACATATTGTCATTGTGCTCGCCTTCCCTTGGCAAAGCCGAGTCGCACAGCCACATCAGAGACACGGCCAGGAGTTTACATGTGTGCGCACGTGTGAGTGTGCATGTGTCTGTGTGCATACACGTGTGTATATTGTGCGTGTGTGTGCACGTGGATGTGCTGAGGAGGCAACAGATCACACAGCAGCCCTGTAGCTACAGGGAGGAGGAAGGAGTCACACTGACGCTGCAGCCTCCCACAGCCTCCTCCTGTCCCCCGCCCCACGGATGGGATGCCAGGTCCCATCCATGAAACCGTTGTCTCCAAGCAAGCCAGAATGTGTCTTCTGTTGCTTGGCACCGCTGTCCGTGGCTCCCAGGGTCTTGTGCTTCATTCTGGCCTCTCCCTGTCTCCTCTGCTGGGCACGCTGACTCCTTCCAGCCTGGCAGGCTGCTCCTGGGTGGGGCTCCAGTGTGTTAGCAGGGGTCTTTACTGCAGGCTGAGTACCACCCTGTAGCCTGGGGCTTTTACTTTTCATTAGATTTATGTTCTATATGTTTTTTTTTTAGGTTTATCTCTTGAAAAGGCAGAGTGGCAGGGGAAGAAGAGACCTTCTTAACCACTGGTCCCTCCCCATATGGCCACAGCAGCCAGGGCTGAGCCAGGCTGGAGACAGGAGTGCCCTCAGGCCTCCCACGCGGGCAGCTCAACCTTCGCAGTTGCATGGGTGGGAACTGGCACTTGTGTGTGGAATGTGGGTGCCACAAGTGGCAGCAGAGCCCACTGGGCCACGCCAGGAGCCCACCAGGAGTTCTAAAGTATTGCAAGCCTGGCCGTAGGCTACCACGCGGACATGGCCAGATGCGAGAGCCACACTACATGTGACCAGTCCCAAGATGGCACAGAAATGCCATCGAGAAATCTCTTCAGGGGGCAGACCCCAAGTTCCCAAGGAGCACGTGTTTTGCCAAGAAGCAGCAGCCCAGCAGCACCACGGCTACACGTGCACCTGCTGAGGCTGGCAGGCCCTCATCAAGCCCACAGTGCCAGAGGCTGGCAGCCATGAGCTGGACTGGCAAGGCCACCTTGCTGGCCCCAGGCGTGGGAAACACAGCTGCCAGGCTCATGCCTGCACTGCCAAGGGTCTTTAGCGGTCCCGGCCAGAGCAAGGTCAAGACGCAAATCAACGTGAAAACCCAAGCTGCACCTGCACCCACAGCCCCATTTCCAGCTTGGGCTCCTCCCAGCGGTGACCAGCTGCCCTGGAAGGCTGCACAGGAACGGCCTTTGCCTACCGATACAAGGAGACAAGGCTGAAGTGCTACCCACACGGGGCTGGTGTCCCGTAACCCACACACGGGGCTGGTGTCCTGTGCTGTTGTGTGTACAAAGAGCCCCGAGACAAGGTTACAAAACAACAACAACAAAAAACAGTAGTCATGAACTCTACGAGCTATTTTGGAATAATTTGGGAACTTGAACATAGCTGGTATATCAGGTGATGTTGGGTTATTAACCTAACGTGTGACCACAGGCAAGGTTCTCCCAAGATACACACTGATGTGTTTCGCAGTGAGGCTCGGGAGCTGGCCAGTTGCTTTCAGATGGTTCAGACAACTGTGTGTCTGCTTTCTGGGAGGGAAGGAGAGGAATGGGGAGACAGAATGTGTGCAAATGCAGCAGGCGGCAGACACCAGACAGCCAGTGGTCAGGCGGAGCTCCCGTGGTCCTTTCTGCTTTTCTGCTTGTCCCAACCTTGCTGAGCTTTGCAAGTCTTCAAAGCAGTAAGTTGGGGAGAAGAGAGAAAATGCCTGCAGGTGAACCCCCAAAGCCTGTGTGTGACACCCAGATACATGTACACGGAACAGCAGGTCACCTGTTCACGTGTCGGCTCACACACAGGAAGGGCTAGGGTTCCCTCATGGGTGCCAAGGATTTCCACGGCAAGTGGCCCGGCTCCCCCGAGGAATTTGGGCAGGGTCTCAGGGGCTTTGTAAATCTCCCAACTTCTGAATATAAATTGGAGTCATGGTGCTCAAGGTCATGTGCAATCCAAATGGCAGTGCAGGCTCCCCAGGAGAAAGGACCCCCAAACCCCTAGGCTCCCCTCCTGTCCCACACCAGCCCTACCCAGAGGCCCACTGTCCTTCCAGCACAGGAACCTGGCCTCTCTTCCCTGGGATTGGCTGCTCAGCAGGTGCCGTGGCTCCTGATTGGATGGTGGCAGCTCCAGCATGAATGCAAAGCAGGGTCTGAGCAGCCCTCCGGAGGAAGGGACGGCCGTTGAAGTGGCAGCTCCTTCTGAAGGGACATCAGAGCGAGCCAGTGCCCACCTGTGGCCATGGCCAGTAGCCTGCTGACTCAGGGAGGCGGCCTTGGGGTCTGCACCTCTTGGGAGTGGGATGGGGCCGCCCTGAGAATGCCTGCCCACATGTGACCAAGCTACATCCCTGGCTGTAGCTGTAAGGTTTCCCAGCAGATGCCAAGCAATAGGAAATACCAGGATGGGGTCAGGGCAGTATGCGGAGTACATGGTACAGAAGCAGGTGTCTGTAAAGGGCCTACATGAGCAGTGACCTGGGCATGAAGGACAAAGGTGGCAGTGTGGATGGGAGCTTGGGCCACTCTTGGGGTCAGAGTCCAAATTCTGGTGGGAGGAAGAAGAGGCCGTGAGTCTTGAGGAGGGGGCCAACCTGATGGTCTCTGACCTACCCCCTCCCAGAAAGTCCACCTGACTGGAAGCAGGGGCTGGTTGGGAGGCCCTTGAGGGATGAGGCAGGGGAGGCCCCAGGCCGGGCAGGGCGCCTGGGAGCTGGGGGTGAGAGTTGAGCTTTGCCCTGAGTCGAAAGAAGGGCTTGACATGAGCTAATTCACGCCCTGGAGACTGGAGCGTGGGCCAGAGCAGGAGCGGGGCATGGAAGGTGTGGCATCTGCTCTGAGAATGGAGCAGAGGCAGGATACCCACTGGAAGGATGGCATGGCTGCACCTGCTATAGACACAAGGCTGCAGGTGAGCCAGTCAGGTGCTCATCGGGGACCCCAGCCAGATGCTCATCACTGCATATCCCACTGAGGGCTACAGTGTCGCCATGGATGTCAGGACAGGACAGGGGCTCAGGGCAGAGCCTGAGCGGCTCCCAGGGCTGGAGGCCAGGGGGACCAAGAAGCAGAGGATGGAACAGGCAGGGTGCCCACGGAGAGGGTTCCTGCAACCATGGACACACAGGGCAGTGCTGGACCAGAAGGAGGGGGTGACTGCTGTGGTAGTACCAGGGCGCTCCCGTGAACCAGAGCAGTCGGGCACCATCAGGAAAAGGGTAGTGGGTTCTGGGTCTCGTTTTGAGTTGAGCGCAAGGGCAGCTCCCCGAAGCCAGTAGCATTGGCCATGGGGACCCAGGGAACGGAACTGGTGGCATGCCTGTGCTGGCCAGGGGTTTCCAGAGTTAGGCTTCAGGCGGCTCCTGTTCTCGAAATGACAGGCTGTGTTGACAACAGGGGCCACAAAGCTGGCCTCTTCAAAAAGAGGAGAGTGGCCCGAAGCCCCTGTAAAGGGCTAGACAGGCTGTCAGGGAGGGCTCCGGGCGGCCCTTGCCACACTGCTTCCAACAGCCACGCCCATACATAGTGGTGGGCGTGGAGGTGCCGGTCACCCACACCTGCTGACCACCCACTCTCCACAAGAGGGCACTGGGCACTTTAGATTCCAGTGTCTGCCCACAATTTCTATCTCTGAAGCCTATATACCTGGGCAAGTGGGGACCTGGCAGTGCCCCTGAGGGCCTAGGATACCAGCATCCCCCATGGGCACTGGCTCGAGCCAGAGAATAGGGCCCCAGGTCTGCAGCTTGGTGGAGCATCTGAAAAACTTCAGCATCCCCACTGCCCAGGAGGCAGGGCTGGGTTATAGGTCAGGACCATCCCTCTGCCCATCCGAACAGCACTGCAGGATTTGGCGTCAGGAGCCCTCGTCCTCTTACAGCCACATCCTGTACCTGACACGGGGCTGAGGCAGTGAGCAAACCCCTGCGGAAACCCCACTGCAGGCAGGCAGAAGAGACCGTCCGTGCCAAGACTCCACAGGGGCCGTGATGGGTGGGAGGGGAGCAAATCAGGAGACAGAGCCCTGGAGGTCGTGCTGTAACCTGGTGAGCCTGAGAGTGGACGTCCTGGCTGCCGGGTGGGTCCCGTGAGGAAGCTGGCCCGGGCATCCAGGGACAGGCCGCAGCAGCTCAGCCTGGCCATTGTCAAGGGAGATGTGTGTGGCAGGGTGGATGTCAGAGTCTGTGGCAGCGCTGGGCATCACCGCAGCCTAGGTGGGGAGCCGGCAGTAGCACACCCCCGCCAGGCTGCTTCACCAAGGCCCAGCAGCCCCATGGTTGTGGCCTCTGGTGAGACATGGTGGCAGGGGCCACCAAGGTCCCAGCCCCAGTGCCCAGTAGAGATCCAGTCACACCAGAGCCCACTTGTGCTGACCCCAGAGCTCCGGCCATCTGTGGCCAGGGTGAGTGGTCACTGGGAGGCTGAGCTGGGGTGGTGTGTGTGTCCAGCTCCCGGGGTCCTTGGGAAGATACACGGCCTTGTGGGCTTTATGCTGGCGGTCACCCATAAGCCATTCCCAGTCCCTGCCCGCAGGAGCCTCTCCAGCTGGGCAGCTTGGGTCAGCAGAGTGAGCAGAGAGACTGTGTCCCACCCACAGAAGTGACAGCCCTTAGCTCTACCACATTGCTGGGTTTGCTGGCAGCAGGGGAGGCACACTGCATGCTGGAGCCAACGGCCACTCAGAACCAGGCCAGAGACAGTGTTGGGGTGCCCCTAGGTGATGTGGGGGCTCTTCCTGGGAGCTCTGGAAGCACCAGGAGTTCCCCACTTGGTAGGGACAACAGAAGCTGCTCCCGGTTTCAGCAGAGAGAAAGACAGATGCAGTGTCCGCTGGCAGTGACAGAGTGGGGCCCTCATCAGGTCAGGACCCTGCATCATGGGAGCATGCGCAGTGGTGGAGGGTCCCTCCAAGCCCCGGCCTCTGCTCTGGGCATCAGGCCATCTGAGGCACAGGCCTCTTGTCTGACATGTGTCCAGCAGCATCCTGACAGCTCCCGGGCCCTGCATGGGCCCCTGCTGCCCCCAGCTGCCCTTCACTAACCACGGCCCTCCTCCCACCCCCACTCTACTTTGCTTCCAGAATCTTCCCTGCGTGAACGAGCAGGCAGCTCTGGGCGAGTGAGGCCGGCTCCATGTACCCAGAATCGACGACCGGCTCCCCAGCTCGGCTCTCCCTGCGGCAGACGGGCTCCCCCGGGATGATCTACAGGTAACCCAGCCCCTCCTGGGCCTGTCGACTCCGCCTCCCCTCAGGAGGGTGCAGACACCTGCCTCCCTGGTGCGTCCAGGCCAGAGCTCCCCGACTCGCCCCAAATAGTCGAGAAAACAGAGGCCCTTCTCCTTTCTTTAGAAAGAGTTAGAGATCTCCCACCTGCTGGGTTACACCTCATACGGCTGCAGTGGCCCGTGCTGGACCAGGCAAAGCCAGGAGCCCCACCCAGGTCTCCCACACGGGTGCAGGACCCGAGGGCTTGGCCATCCTTTGCTGTCTTCTCAGGCACGTGGCCAGGAGCTGGGTCGGAAGGGGAGCAGTCAGGAAAAGAACCGGCGCCCGTGTGGGCAGTCGGCGTCTCAGACAACAGCTCGGCGCCAACCCCCTCCCCAGCTTCTCACTGACACTTTTCACGTGGCCTCTGGGGACCCACTACCCCAGTCCCCCCACAGCCTGCGCAGGGCTCACGGCCTGCTCCCCGTTTGCTGACACCCAGCAATAGGTGAGGGACCCCTTGGCCTCCGCCTCGCGGAAGCCGTCTCCAGGCCCAGCTCCTGCTGTTTCTGTGTGTGCGACCCTCAGCGCTGACCCAGCGGGGCCAGCTTGCAGGTGGCTGGCGAGCTCATTGTCACAGTGTGGAAGGGCCCCGTAACTTGCCTGGCCTGTGTGTCCACTGTCCACACTGCTCAGGCACCATGCCTCTACCCACATGGCCACTGGGTGGTGCTGCTGCCAAGCCTTTGGTCCCTGACGGGCAAGAGCCAGCCAGGCGGGCGAGCGGGTGGGCAGACAGGTGCTGGCCAGGCCTGTGTTAACGCCAACTGTGGATTCCTGTCTCTCTCTCCTCTCTTTCCTGTCCCCCTGTTTCTCTTTCTTCCATTGCTGTCCGAAGTACTCGGTATGGGAGCCCCAAAAGACAGCTCCAGTTTTACAGGTAACGGTCTTTCATTTCTCCCCAAGCCCAGCAGGCCCGCGGCGAGGGCGTGGGTGGAAGCACCTGACCACGTGCGGGGAAGGGAGGCCAGGCCCTGCCCGCCCCTCCCAGCGCCCACTCGGGGGGTGGGGTGCTCTGACTTGAACAAACAGACTTGCTGTGTCTGGTTAGCTCTCAGCGGAGTACCCTGTCCGGCCTCACAGACTCTCACCAGGCAGGGGGTGGGACCTTCCCCAAATCCCTGTGTGTATGGGGAGCCCTACCCTGCCCCCGTCATCTTGAGACCAGGGCTCTCCTGTCCCTCACAGACTACGGCCTCTGGGAGGGGAGGGGTGCCCCTGTGCCCTGAGTGACTAGGTGATGTCTTTCTGATGCTCCCTGCAGGCCACCAGCACCCCCAGGGCCCCCGCAGGTCTCCACACAGTGAAGTCCAGGTCCTTTGCCCAGGAGTGTCCTCCCAGCTGTCCCTCCTCCACTACTGTCACCTCCCTCATACCTGTAAAGTTGGGAGAGTTCCGGGAGGGGGGGGCGCTGTCCTTCTGGGAATGCCTCCCACTCTAGCAAGCAGGAGGTCACGCTTGCCTGGTGTCCTGGGTCTGTACAGAGACCAGGTGCCAGCCCTGGCGCGGGAGACTGGATGTGCTGGCTGCAAGCCTGGGACATCTGCCAGCTGCCCAGCATCTTGCCTCCAGCTGTTGGCTACACCATGGGCGTTTGTTGCTGATGGGCAATGAGTGTTGGGGAGTGGGTCCTGGGGCTGGCAGTGATTCCAGGGTTGGCAGTGGGTGTGGGGGCCAGCAGTAAGTCTTGGCGTCAGTAATGGGTGCTGGGACCAGCAGTGGGTGCTAGGGCTGGCAGTGGGTCTTGGGGTCGGTGGTGAGAACTGGCGTCGGCAGCAGGTGCTAGGGTCAGCAATGGGTGCTTGCGTCTGCAGTGGGTGCTGGGATCGGTGGTGGGTACTGAGGTCTGTAGTGGATGCTGGGGTTGGCAGTGGGTACTGGGGCTGGCAGTGGGCTTGGGGCCAGCAGGAAGACCTGTGGTCAGCAGTGGGTGCTGGGGTCTGGATTGGATGCTGGGGTTTGCAGTGGGTGCTGGGGCTGGCAGTGGGCCTAGGGGGCCAACAGTGAGACCTGTGGTCGGCAGCGGGTGCTGGAATCTGCAGTGGGTGCTGGGGCTGGTGGTAGGTGCTGGGGCTGGCAGTGGGTGCTGAAGCTAGCTTTGACATTCCCTTCAGTCTTGGTGTCTCCAACCATGACCATGGGCCTGAGTTCTCAGTCTAGCTCACCTCATGGCTTCAGTGCCTCCCACGAGGGCTGGTCGCCTCACGGAGCTGACATACGTGGCCAGCTCTTTGTCGTGCCTGGGCTGCTTGGTCCTCAGCGTGGGCCTACGGATGCTGGCTTGGGTGGAGTGTGCACATTGTAGTGTGGTGTCATCTGGAGTGTGCACAGCCGTCCCTGAACACCTGGGCCAGAGCAGCTCACACCTGGACAGCATCCTCAGAGAGCTGAGGCCACTGTGTCCCAGGAGGGGTGTGACGAGCAGGTGTAAGGCTGAAATGAGTCACCCGGACGTCTGAGACCCCACAAATGACCCTGTTTCCACCCAGGAGAAGCCCGGGTGAGCACCCTCTTCCCCAGGAGGTCCCGCCCCCCACCAGTCTGCTCAGTCCTCTAGCTCGGGCCACCCTGTCCCGTGGACTCTGGTTGGACTTCTTCGTGTGGGCGCTCGTGTTTGCTGCGAGTCACGGGGACCTTCAAGGGCTGGACTTCAGGTTTAACAGACAGAAGCAGAGCGGGCTGTCCCTGCAGCCACAGTGGAACTGGAACTTGGCCATTCCGCTCACCTGCTGTGAGCAAAGCAAGATTCATGACCAAGCCCAAAGTTACGGGCACCAAAGCACATCTCCCATTGCCAGTGGAAGGAGTGCTGCAGCCCCATGACCAAGGTCACGGCCTCAAAGAGAGGAAGGACTGAGACAGGAATGCAGTCCAGCGTAGAACCCAAGGGATTCTGAGCGTGTGTGGAAGCAGATGCCGTGTGCCTGGTGTCCTGAGGAGGAGAGCTACAGCCCGCTGACAATCAGGGAAGGCTTCCTGCAGGTGGCGGCCCAAGGGCTCTGAGCTGTTGGACCTCACAGGCCGGGCAGGATTCAGCACAAAGGAACATTCCAGTATCTGCCAAACCTACAACATGGAGGTGTGGACAGAAGACAGCCAGTGTCCACTCCACAGATGGGGTTTCAAGGGCATGGCCGGGCATCGAGCAGGGCATAAGAGTCAGCCGGGGAAGGCCTTGGGTGCCAGTGAAGGAGCCTGGTAGACTGAGAAGGGCAGTGGGGCGCCAGACAGCAGGTCAGGAGGCGGGGAGCAGGGCTGGGTTACAGGAAGTGTTGGAGGAGGACCCACGAGGTGGGGCTAGGCTGAGAAAAATGTGGCGGAGGCCGTGCCAGGCAGAGAGGAGGTGCCCAGGGGATGGAGACCCCTCTGGCCTCTGCAGCTAGAGCGCCACGTTCCTGTCCCCAGCCCCCATGAAAACCACTGTGGTCTGTTTGTTCCCTGCCAGACAGGCAGCCTGACCTCCACCCAAAGTCCCAGCTGCACAGTGGCTCCTTTGGCTGGGACGTGGTCCCATGCCGAGGCCCCTTGAGCCTCCTGTGTGGCACAGAGTGCCTCGGGGGTCAGAACCTGAGGGCCAGCGCCCAGCACTTAGCCGTGAAGAGGATCGCCTGTGCCGCTGCCCAGAGGGAGTGGCCCTGGAGTAGCCAAACTTGTAGAATCTCCTACAGAGGTACTGGCAGACCCTAAGGGCCTCTCCTGCACAGACCCCAGCATCTCTGCTGTGGGTGGCGGCCACACATGCCAGGTCCCGCCTGAAACAACTTGGCCTTGGAGAGGGTAGAAACTAAGGGGCTGTGTGACCCCCTGTGGCAGGAAGGGGCGGTGAGGATGCCAGAGGCTGTCGGGGTTCAGGACCCCCCGCCACTGCCAGGCTGCACCCCAAGTCTGCGTGCCAGGAGGCAGCCGTGCCAGGCTGCGCCACGGCAGTGCTCTGCCCAGGCTTTTAGGGGAAGCAACGTTCGTGAATAATTCAGCTTCGTTCACGGAGATGAAAACGCCCTAATAGAACTAATGGACTTGCTGCCTCCGAAGCCGACCCTTATGGGACTCGCCTCATTCACCAATTGCTTCAGCCGCTGCACAGCGACACCGCCTAATGAAAACGCCACCGCGCTGAGCCGCCCCGCACCTCCGATCCCAGCAAGCTCGCCAGAGGCCTCCGGAGCGGGCGGCGCCCACCCAGGCAGGTGAGTGGCCCTTCAACAGAGACGCAGCCCCCCTCTCAAGACCTCGACCCACGGAAGGGACGAGATTGGGGGCACCGCAGGCTGATCCGAAGCTGGGGCCCCAAGCCTTGGAGCAAGCTGGCCCGGGACAAGCATGGAGCAAGCAGGCTGGGTGGCCACCGGGCTTCTTGCACTTGAACCCTCGAGACACCCAGATCCAGTTCCTAGGCCCGTCTGCCTCAACCGTGTGGAACCCGGGGGCTGTGGGGCCCCCGTGGAGTCAGACCAGCGTTTGCACGAGCTGTGGGCAGGGCAGCAGGGCTGCTGCTGGGGAGCACATGCCCGCAGAGCAGAGGGTGCTTGTCTGGGCCTCGGGGCGCTGGGAGGTTTGGCATCGCAAGCTGCTACGCCCTGGGTGCCTCGCAGGAGCTGTGGCTGGGCTGCAGCAACCCCGCTTCCTCTCCACATTTCCACTTCCAGGAACTGGGGCTGACCCCGGGGTGTCTGGATGCGAGGGTGGGGTGCACGCAGGATGCCCTGCAGGCTCGTCGCAGCAGCTCTGGGGGCTCCGGGCAAACGGGCACCAAGTTGGACGCTTCAGGTGAAGGCCCGGGGGCGGGTGGGTGGCGATTTTAATTCCTGCTGACTTAAGGAGGTCAGCGTCTGGCTGTCCTGCTCCTGTCACTGTGCTTGTTCACGTCAGTGTCCACCCCCACCCCCCACCCCGGGGCCCTGGCCGACAAGAATAGACCAGCAAACCACAGGCAGGCACCAGAC